TGGCTAGATAACAATATTTACGCCTTTTTTAAAACGAATGAATTTTCAAGAAAAACATATTTAAGTGCATAGACACAACAATAAAAACGAGACTTTATCCCACTTGGGGTTGGCGGCATGAATCCTTTTTCTCCATAGTATCCTATTGCGTGTCATATTTTCATTTAATTCTAATAATTTAAGATCATTTTTATATAACAAGCCCAAATCTTTTTAGATCTACCTCTACATTTATTAACATAAGTCAAATTTATTCTTCTAACTAGGTCATCAGATGGTTGATATTTGCAGTGACCAAACCATCTAAGGCAACTCCCTCTAATCTTGTCTGTCCTTGGAGCTACTCAAACCCTTTCATAGATATATTCATCTCACATTTTGTCTCTAAGTGCAAAACAACTCATCCACCTGAGTCATCTCAACAACACTTAACTTAATTTTATGCTTCTCTTTTACAGGCCAACATTTCTTGTATAAAACATTGCAGGCCTCATCACCACCACCACAACAACAACAACAAGTCTTTATCCCACTAAGTGGGATCGGCTACATGAATCTTTTTTCTCCATTATGTCTTATTTTCATTTAAATCTGATGGATTAAGTTCATTTTTAATACAATATGCCCAACTCTGTTTAAGTCTACCTCTGCCTTTCTTACCATAAGCCGAATCTAAAACTTCTACTCTCTTAACCGGATCATCAGAAGTTGGTGTTTAATGTGACCAAACCATCTAAGACGACTCTCTTTAATCTTATCCGCCACTGGAGTTACATCAACCCTATCACGGATATTCATTTCACATTTTGTCTCTAAGTGTCAAACCACTCATCCACCTAACCATTCTCACCTCAACAACACTTAATTTTGTTTTATGCTTCTCCTTTAAAGGCTAACATTTTGCACCATAAAGCATCGCAAATCTCACCACCATCTTATAAAATTTTCCTTTCAGTCTATGCGGTACTTTTCTATCACACAATAGTCCCAAAGCATTCTGCCACTTCAACCAACCAACTTGAATTCTACTAATAACATCCCCATCTATATCACCATCACTTTGTATGGTACACCCGAGATATCTAAAAAGTTCACACCTTTGAATGATTTGATCACTCATAGTTACAACTCTGTCACTATAGCTACTACTGCTAAAAGTACATTCCATGCATTCAATTTTAGATTTACTCAAATGAAGGTCTTTAGAATCCAATCTAGACCTCCATAATTCAACTTTTCCTTAACTTTTTCTCTAGTCTTATCCACAAAAAGGATATTATCAGCGAAAAACATACACCAATGTACATCCTCCTGTAAATATCCATTAAGAACATCCATAACTAAAGCAAAAAGATATAAGCTTAAAGCTGATCTTGAAGTAATCCAACTGAAATCGGAAAATACTTGGTCAATCCTCCTTCTATTTGAACACAAGTGACGGCTCTAGTAAACATATCTTTAATGACTAGAATATAAGTAATATCAACACATTTCTTCTCTAAATACTCCAAATGACTTCTCTTAGAATCTTATCGTAAACTCTTTCTAAATCAATAAAAACCATATGTAGATCATCCTCATTCTCTCTGTACTTCTCCATCAAATCTCTCAATAATCTATAGCTTCCATAGTTGGCATGTCCGTCATAAATCCAAACTGATTATGATAAATCTCTATATCATGTCTTAAGCTATATTCAATTACCCTCTCCCATATCTTTAAAGTATGACACATCAACTTAATTCTTGTATAATTTGCACACTTTTGCATCCCCTTTATTCTTAAAAATGGGGATCAAAATACTCTTCCCTCACTTTTCGGACATCTTTTTAGTTTTTAAAATATTATTTAGCAAGCCATGAAACTCCCAAATCTTCTAAATATTTCCACACTTCAATTGGGAAATCATCAGATACTACTGATTTTTTCTTTAAAGCCTTTTCATCTTCTTTTTCACTAATGTGACGGTGAAAATAAAACGTTTTATTATTTATAACAAAATTAAAATCACTAAGGTCGATTGTATTTTCAAAAACTTCACTGCAGTTCTTACCACCATCTTATAAAATTTTCTTTAAAGTATAAACAATAGTTTTACTATCTCACAATTAAAGCTAATAACTTCCTCCACTTCAACCATTCAACTTAAATTCTACTAATAACTTCCCCATCTATACACCATCAATTTAAGTGCACGGAAATCAAATTTATATTAACGATGTTGAAGGTACAAACATATGAAACTATTACAAATCTTTATAGGAAGTTTTGAAAAAAAAAATATTTAGAGTGAAAATTTCAACAAAATCAAAGATCTTTTGATACCCTTGAGGTATTCTATTGATGAATATATAAAGTTTAAGATAGCTTTTCCCAAATAACTTTTAGGAATGTGAATTTGAAAGAAAAAGTCTAGGAAATTTCCACAATCCAATTTTTTATTTATGTTATCCAATATACTTTGAAGTGTCAAGGCAAGAATAATACCTTCTTTAGATGATATAATTTGATTAAAATAATCTATTACATTACTAATCTTCTTTTTTTATATTAATCGTAAAGATAAACAAGAGGAAAATGTCAATGAAATTAATTTTTTATTAATAAGATAACCCATGTAATCTGAATGCAATCATCAATGAATATAACGAACCCTTTAGCTATAGAAATCTTAAGAAATTTTAAGGTCCCTAAGCTAATTATCATAAAATGACAAGAAGATCTAGATTCACTTTTGAGTAAAAAAAACTCTATCATATGTAGTAATTTCACAAATATCACAATGAGATTTTTTAATACTAACATTTAAAAAAGAAAATAAAAAATATATTGAACAAATTTTAAAGGAATAACATAATTAATAATAATGATCTAAAATATTGTCTTTATTTAATGAAGATATGAAGGAATTATGTAAGTGGTTATTGTCTTTAAATAGGTATATCATATCTTTTTCTAGCTTACTCAATTGTGTTCCACATAGTGAGATCTTAAAATATACAATAATTAATAAAAATTACACCAAGTAGCCGTGAGCGTTGGTGGGTTTATCAATAAAAGAAATATTGACAGGTAGGTTAGAAAATATAATAGATTGTTGAGAGTAAATAAAGAAAGAAAAGTGACATCCTATAGACTTGCAATAGTAGTTAAAAGAGCTATTGGCTACATTTATTTTCCCACAACTAAGAAGCTTTGTAGGTTTGAAAAATGTTGCACGATTTTTCATGTGATTGGAACCTCCTACATATATTATGTGAGTTTTAGAGTAATTTCAAATGCAAGGGTTAGAATTTAACAATTTAAGCTAGAGAACATAACCTAAAAAAAAAAAATTTATGATGATTTAAAGAAGTTCCTTATCTTATCAATTTTTATTGAGTAGAGTCGTTCGGTTCAATGAAAGTCTTGCTTTTGGATCAATTTTCTTTGTTTGCACAATTGCCTAAGTGTTTTCCATGAAATTTTCAACATTTGTTTTAAACATGCCACTTTTTTTTATAATAATTGCACAAGTTGTTTATGAAAATAGAAAGATGTTCTGATAATAAGTATTTTCTCTTGATTATATATGGTTTGTTATGGCCAACATTTCAAAGTTGGATGTGTCAAGCATAGCTATCATTGAACAAAAAAAAAAATCTCATTTAAAATCTCTTGAATCTTTAGAATGTGGTCGGTGTGGCGGCCCCATCAAAGTCATAAGTACCCGGAGAATTACGCTGCACTTGAATGTTGTTAGTACACTTCTCGTTGGATGATGTGCTAGGTTATGATTTAAGATGCTATATAGTTTTTTTTTTCGTCCAAGCTATGATTCTTTGTTGGTTCGATTGCGCTAACCATGCGTCACTTTTGCATCTTTCGGTGTGCTCGTATGTTTGATGAGTATGGCAGTATATTAGTGTGTTCTTCTGCAGGGAGCTGTGTCATGTATATACACACGCACAGGTACCATTAAGGGGGAGCGTGTAATGATTTGTACTACATTTTGCTTGCAAGTGCTATTTAGCTCCCCGACAAAAGACATGACTCATTATACATCGCATGTTTGTTGGCTTTCCCGCTAACCTTATTTTTATGCAGGTCGATGTTGACCTCATTTTTAGTGAGGTCTTAGTCTCCTACTCTTAGGCAATGGAGCCCACCTCCCGTAGAACTTCAAACCACTTCTTGACTCATTTTTGTGAAGAACTCACATGAGTGGTTCCAAGCACTCAACTTCTAGTTGCAAGGACTAAAGACCAACATGTAGAGGGCCCGAAAATGAGTTCCCATAGGATCAGATGACCATAGGTGAACCCTTTGTGACTCGATTACTCACGAACGCCGCAATTCACACACTCGCTGCACCACACACGATTTTGGCTTAAATCGACTCGCCCGTCGGCAAACTCTTCCGGACGACCCCGGATGACGAAACGGACCACGCCGACGCGTCCGGAACGTCAACTTTAGCTAAGAAGGACACCCATATTGCTGTGGTTCCACACTCGCGTGAACTGCACGGATATCGATGCACCTTTTTTTTAGCAGTGTGCGGGCCCGGGCTTAACTCAGGTCCGACTGGAGTTTGATTCAGGCTGAACGCGGGCTAGGCACCAGCTCACCTAAATTTGAAATTCAAATTTCAAAATTCAAATGGATTATTTAATTTTTGTCTTAATTAAGATTAATTCAGGAGTTAATTATTTCCATTTATTTCCTGCCCCTGCATT